AACCCTTATCATCACCCAAACCACCTCAAAACCATCATTACTAGCACACAATAACAATCTCTCCACCACAAAAATCACCCAAAGCTTTGTCGTGCCTACTAAAGTCCAGTTTACTTACCACCTAAGATATTAAAAAATAATTGCAAAAAAACTAACTTACCAGCCACATCCCTAGTAAGGGAGCTACAAAAACAATAGAAAGAAAAAAAAACACCTAGAAAAAAATAGCAAAAGAATAAAGTTTTCAAGCTTGGAGTTCAGACTTGACCAGGCTATGAAAAGATTTCTTTTAGGTTTAAATAAAAAAGGAAAAGGAAGCGACAACAAGCCATCGTCAATGATAGAAGTGATGGTGGCATAAGAAGGGTGGCAGTGGTGACAAACTTTTAGGCGATCAAACAGGTGGAAAGGTAAAGCATGGAGAAAAAGTTAACATACTAAAATCTCAAAGAGATTAGACGGTGGAAGATGGATTTTTAATGACTTGAAGTTTCAAGCTTCACTCTTAGATCTAGGACTTTAGGGGTTGATTTTTGAAATTCAAAGTTTCAAATTATGACTATAAAGCTAAAGAGAACATTAGGTGAAAATTTAGGTTGAAAAGGAGATTGACTAGTAGCGGTCGACAATGAGGGACGATAACGATGCAACGATAAGCTTTTTGGAATCTGGGTTTAAAGGGTTTAGTTTTTTTTTTTTTTTAATGAGAGATAATTTTTTACGAAGAGATGAAATGAGTTTACAAAAAGGTTTGGCTTTTATAATGTGAAAAAAAAAAGGAAAAGAGTTGATCGAGTCAAACCTGATTCGACTTCTATAACCCAAGACCCGACTTATGACTCATTTGACTCGACCTGGACTGGCTACCTAACCAGACCATTGTTGGATCTAGCCTAAATCATCTCTTTGGCCCAATAGTTTTCCTTTTCTTAGGCTTAGTCTCTATTTTGGGCTTCAATATTAGAAAGAATATATTTTCAAGTAGAATATATTCCTATTTACAAATTGAGTTGTCATCATTTTTAAAAATAAAATAGAATAACATTTTCAAGTAAAAATATGTTTTTGGAGACCTTACTCGAATATTAAAGGGAATTCTAATGATTAATTTTTTACTATAGAATATTAATTTCGTTTTAAAGAATTATTAAAGAATCAATTTTCTTGAATTTCACCTAAATTTTGGGAAATTAAGAAAATTTTCTATTACTAAAACTTTTTATTTTTAAATGTTTTATCAAAGAAATAATGATAAGAAATATAAAATTAAAATATTTGAAAATAAAGGATAATATCAATTATTGTCATTATTTGATTTTCATCATTTGTTTCATACTACTTTGTATGTATTGTACTTGATAATAAAAGTGAAATGATAAAATGATAATTTTAAAAAAGGGTTTTTAGAAATTAAAAAGAATAATATCACTAAGTAGAAATAATTCTTAGGCCCATACCCAAATACTAGTGGATTTCTCTGTAATTATTTTTTATGAGGGAATTTTATGTTAAATTTTAAGAATTATCAAGAAAATTTTCAAGTAGAGAAATATTTTTTGAAATTTCACCTAAATATTAGGGAATTTGAAAATTTTTTTGAAACCAGAGATTTTCAGTTTGTTCGTAAACAAAATGATTTAAAAACAATAAAAAGAATTTTGCAAAAAATAAATAAAAATGAATTATTTTAACTATTAAAATTAAGACAATATTTTATCAATGCTAAAAGATAACATATGATTAATTGGTACTGTCTTTAAAATAAGTGCTATGATGTGTCAATCTTTCCTTACATATTATCAAATTCCCAAATCCATCTTTAATTTCAAAGACCAAAATTATTTTTTTGATAAACTTGAAACTAGTTGTTAAGGTTTTATTAAAATGATAAATTTTTTTTATAACCAATCGCACCTAACAAAAAAAATATTGGTAGTAACTTCTTATTTTGGTGATCATTTTTAAAATCATCCAAGCTATCGGTTTCTTAACATACATGTTAGAGGTAGTTAACAACTTCATCTCTTATTAGCATAATCAAGAAAAGCATAGTTGAGCAAAACATGAAATGTTTTTTGTACAATCAAAGACAAGATTTTGTTAAATTATTTGTTCAAACAAAAAAAAATACCATACATGTTCGACGTTCAAGTAGATTTGACAATTGTAAACACAATAAGATGAAATGATATGAAAACAATATAAAAAAGATATTATTTAAAATTTTAGTAAAAATCGTATATAGATTTGGTAAAAATATATTTTGTAGCCCTTTAAATAAATACACAAAAACTTGATTAAAAAAAATTCTCATTATGAGGTGGCATCATATGCTTCATTGATAGTTTATATAATATATGCTTTAATAGCATATTAAATATAAACTCATTATGAGCTCCCACCACTTATTAAGGGATTTTTGGCAAATTTTCTCAACTTCTTCTCTGATTTCTCTCTATAATTCTTTTTTTCCTAGTTTTTTTTTCAACTTTATTATACTTTTTACTCAACCTAACTTTATTGTCTACCACCACTTACTATTGCACTCAATACTTTAAGATCTGCTTTAATCCACCTTTTCGTTATCTCCCAAACATTCTATTTTACTTGTTTTAACACTTTTTCTCCTTATTAAAAAACTTATTTTATATTTTGATGACTTTATTAAAGAAGAATGATTGCATTGAGTTAAAATTCTCTACTTTTATTTCATTGAAAATATGAGGATTCTACTGTAAATCAAAATACTCAGGCCCCTGCCAATATCCAAAAGCGAATGAAGATGATTCAAACTTCCTAAGAAAGAATGCAAAAATTGGAAGAAACTATCTCCTAGCTTACATCTTCCAGTGCCATAACCTCTTAAGTCCAACTTATTACTAATAGGAATGAGAATATTTTCAATCGAGCTATCTATCCCATAAATGGCAATGGAGAAAACATATCATATGCGCCTAATTTTTATTTTAATGAAAATCTTGGTGTGAACAACATCTTAGTTGTTGGTACTTCTACCTTGACTTTTTCTTTGACCATGACTCAAGGCTTTGTCAAAAAGAAGTGCTTTAGAAGTTGCTTCAAAAGAAGAACAAGAGTTGGATTTTTTAGTTTGATCTCAAATTATCTTATCTCGCTAATATGGCTTCTAAACATATCTCAAGGACAACACTAGTCCTAAGTTCAAGCAATTCAATGGCAAGATTAGGGATACCCAATAAGCATGTCATGAATTTGTGGAAACTCTTGGAATAGCTGAATTAGATGATGATTTTAAGTTGAAAGAATTCCCCATCTCTGTATAAAAAGGCATGTGCTTGGTATGTCAAGCTTACTCTTAGTATTGTCAAATCTTAAAGTCAGATGTGTACGATCTTTGAAGAAAAGCTCTTTTTTACCTAAGAAAAAGTTACTCTTATTAACTTGGAAGAGAACATCAAAAGTTGTGTGAAGATCTCATGGATTACATCCAACACTTTAGGAAAGAATGTTTGACATCTAAGATTCTCACAATTAGAAAAAGTTGGTGAAAATGTATATCAAAGGAATGTTTGATAAATATATCGTGTATTTAGAGAATTTATCTCTTTCAATGTTTGCTATTTTGGTTGAGGTTGCAAGAAGAACCAATTATATAATTCTTAGGTTAAGAGAAATTAATCACTTCACTAAAAGGAATACTCTTATAGTGAATGTAAATCAAGGATGGGGATGAGAAAAAGAGAACCTCCTCATTCTAATATAAGCTTTAAAAAGGGCAATCCAAGAATAAGACAGTATGATGGTGTTAACTCTTTAGCATTCTCAGTTCCAATAGACATAGGGAAAGCATTTTTCTAAGAATGGATCACATATAGAAATGTAAACTACTTTATGTTCCATGACATCAGAAGAAAAATCCGAGCTAAGTTATTGTGATTACATCAAACAATTAGCCACCCATTTGTTAATTATAGGAACCTTTATAGGGTATTTCATCGAAGAGTACATACAAGAGAAGTGTTAATTGAGAACAATCCATTCCTAGCTCATTGAAATCCCTAAAGAATGTAAATACAATTGTTCATGCTCATCATGAAGATTCTTCTCCTTCAGCCACTTAATTTGAAGATGTGCAAGCAACTAGCATAGTTCCTTCCTTTATTATAGATTCACATACAAAAACTCCAATTTTCATGCATTTATTAGATCAACTAAGGCTTAAAGATGAATCAAGAAATGATGCACCTGTCGCACTAGTTAAGAGAGTGGAACAATGATATGAAAAGTGTAATATGGTAAGATGATCTATAAGAAAAATGGCAATGTGAATCTGAGAATACCATAGTCTTCACAAAAGTAGATATGTGTACTTTTGATCCTTATCACAACAAGCCTCTTTATTTAGAGAGTATTATCAATGGATATCCTATCAAAAGAACATATTCATTGAAGATGGATCTTCTATGATACTCATGCCTTTGTTCACGTCGAAGGCAATGAACATTAACTTGAAAAGTCTATGTCGTCCTATGACTATCACTTCCTTTGATAATAAGGAGATTTTAACATTGAAACAAGTAAAAGTGAACTTTGAAATAAAGTCGAGTCAAGATCACAGTTGTTTTCATGTGATTGATGCTAATGTAGCTTATCATGTTCTCAAAGGAAGAAAGTTCTTGCACATCCACAACATTATCTCGTCCTTATGTCATCAGTATATTAAAGGTCACTAAAAGGGGAAGGAAATCTTCATTCTAGCTATTGAGGCATCATTTGAGCAAAATGAAGTGAACTATGCTAAGGCATCTTTCTTTAAAGATCCAATGGAAAATGGAGAATCGACTATTGTTGAACCTATAAGTGTTTCACTTCTAAAATGGGAAGAGTTCTCTTATAAGAAAGAAGATAATGGTGGGAAAAAAAAAAAAGAAGCATTAAGGTGGAAAAAATTATGTAACAATATTTCTGGATAAGGAAGTGAAAGAAGAAGGACAAACTATAGGAGTGAGTTCTTATATTCGTGAAGATGAAAAAACTGTTTATTGCTGATGATGGGACACCGAGTCTAAAGAAACACTTTCTCCTAAACCCATATCATGACAACCGTCGTATGAGCAATCATTTTGTTTCCAATTGGAAGTGAACAAAAAAGGGCACAAGAGATTGTATCTTCACCAAAATAACTTAAAGATCAACCTATACCACAAAGAGAAGTACAAAACGACTTAAACAATAATCCGATTAGAATGTTTGCTTTTCTTTGTCATTGTCAATTGTACTTAGTTCAAAAATGTATTTCCTATCCTATTCAATGCATGTTTTACAATTTAAAGAACTTCTTTACAGTTGCAAAATAGCTTTCATTAATAAAACCAATAATCATCAGCATTACAAACATATGATACCCCCGGAGAGGAACCTGGCATTAAATTAGGAGAGCTTGAGTGATCTTCTTGGTTCTACTTTTGGATCTCTTGCCTCTTATCTTCGAGAATCTGTCCCTTTCTTTTCTTCTCAAATTTCTACATTTTATTTCTGTTTTCTGCTGCTATCATCTGATCCATGTCTAGTATGGGCATTGCATCTTCTATGCAACCTTCTGCAATTTCAGTATCTTCATAACTACATAAAAAGACTCGATCAATATCTGAATCTCTCATTCAAAATATTATATTGAACTCAACCTAATCGATCACTATAATACTAAGCTGCAAAATCCAGCTTAGATTTAGGAATTTTTCAAACCAAAAGGAGCTTAAATTATTTAATTATATCCCACGTTCCCAACCATTTCACCAACCTTGTTTTTAAAATTATATTTATTCTTTTTTTAATTTAAAATTTTGAAACATATAACAATTAGACACATGATTAACATTAATTGTTGATATACCAAAAAGATGAAATTTTTTTTTTAAAAAAAGCATAGAATAAATTTCTTAAAATTTTCCTCTTACTCTCTAGAAACACTTCGAAAATTTGAAAAGCCCCTTAATTAAATGGTTATGAGCTCCATTAATGGAGAAATGGCTGACAAAAGAACAATATTAATTATATCAAGTGATAAAGGGCACTAAGGCAATATCATTACATCCACTGTAAGGTTCACGATCTCTAGTACACAGACAGGAAGAAAATTCTGATGCACCAGCAGGCAGCCTAGCTAGCTAGCTATGCAGCTTTGGAAAACATCAAGGCTGCTCTTCCTATCTAATTCACTCCTACGGTCCTTGAATCACATGATTGGGAAATCCCACATATCAGGATGGATTTCATCGTCCCATAGCTCTTGTCGAAGCTCCTGTTCGCTGCTGGATCCATTCACAAACTTGTTTAGTTTCTCCTTTAATATTTTTGCTGCACCAAATTCTCCAATCTGCGTCGACCAAAGAAATTCAACATTTCACGACTTTCAATTTTTCTCTTCGGGTGAAAAATAATTAAAAAAGAACTGGAATCGAAATTGGAGAGCAGTGGTTAATTACCTCAGCATGAACAACGTGGAAAACTGTATTCCCAACAACCGAGAAATTGGCGTGTAGTACTTCTGCTCCTTCTTCATGAAGTATGCGGATGATCTCATAAAACATGAACTGACCGTCTGGCCCTGTCATCATAACCACCTCCATAGCAGAACCCTTTTCGTTAATCCTAATTTCAGGAGATCTCAAGCTGGCCATGGTTTCCGCTGCAATACATCTATAAGATCTCCTTCTTCCCATTAGACTTTCCTTTTTCTCGCTGGATTCCTTCAACCTTGTTTGTAGGCACTTTATGTAATTCACAGCTTCATCTATTTGATCAGGTAGTGATAATGGCTCCTGCAATTAGCATCCACAATGAAATGAAAACTGAACTCCTTTAAGATCAATTCTGACAAAATTTTGAGCCCCGGCAAATTATTAATGTTATGAAGAAAGAAAAACATACCTTAGAATCATGATGGGGAAGTAGAGAATTGAGTATGGAGAACAAATTCTTCGTATGATTTCTCCTGTTCTTCTCAATGATCTTCCTCTCAACCTTAGCTGAAGAACAACGAGACCTCTTCATTCCCTTATTCATACCCAAATTATGAACTAAGTATTCCATTTGAAGATCCATTGGTGTAGCCGAATAAGCTGTCTTATGTTGGTTTATATACCCACAAACGGTTGTGGCTAATAAATAAAAGCACTGAAAAAGAAGTGGAAAACCCGAAACTTCAGTAAGCGAGTAATAGAGGATTACGATGGATGATGGAAGGAAAAGAGGGAAAAATGAGAACACGCAGGCGTCGTCATTTATGTTACGTCAGCAGTCACTCATCAACATGATCAGCATTGGGGATATCATGCGGGGGTAGGCCCAACTCAGCCGCCTTTTTAGAATTATATGCTCTTTAACATAGTATTTGCACGTGCCTATCTGCTCCTTTTTGCTTTTCTGCCGTTTCCTGGAAACTGCAGATTTCTTGATTTTGATTAGATTCTCATCCTATCAAAGTCTGTCCTTTTGCGGACAAGGTCTATTCCATTTTTTATGCGTGCATTTTTTATTTTTGGAACTTCCAAGAAATGTCAAAAGTTTTTTTTTTTTTTTATATAATTTATATATCAAGTTGTTTATTTATATTATTATAACCGTAAATAACAAAGCTAACTCCAACTTTGAAAAAATCTTTAGAATTTGAACTCAGTATAACTCGATTTAAAGAAAACATCAACAAATAAATCTTAAATAATTTTAATTTTAATTAATTTGAATTTAAGATGATTCAATTTTAAATACTTTGAAAGACTAATCCAAATCGACTCAAAATTAAATTTATTTATCTTGAAAATTCAGTAATATAAATCTGAAAATTATCCAAATTTGATAGCCTTAACCTGAGTAACATAAGTGTCAAACATGAAGATTTGAATCCCTAATGACTCCAAACAGGAAACAACTGGAAATAACGTGATCCAACTCAAAATTGATCTAATCCATCCAATTGCCATCTCTAGATTTAGAATTCACTCAATATTAATATTGAGAAATTTTAAAAAATTTTTTTATATATGCTGAGTTATAGTACTAATTTAAGGCAATTTTATAATTCTGCATAATATCAGTAATATTGGATTGTGAGTTTAATATTTTTATATATACTATATGCATTAGACTTAGATACACCTATTATGTGACAAATATATATATATATATATATATATAATGTGTAGATAAAAAATTTGTCTTTAAAAAAATAATATGTAAACTAGGAATGGATAGTTTTTAAATGAGAAAAAATGTTTATCTTTAATTTTAAATTTTTTTTCATATTTTGGTCATTTCAACGAATTGAATTTATGTTACTTGACTCATGAGATCAAATTTAGACAAAGATTTTATATAAAAAAATAATTTTGCACACTTACAATCAACCCAACTATAATATGAAATAGCTTGAAAACTAAACTATACTTTGAAATTTAATCATTTATTAAATTTAAATATTTATATAAGAAATTGAATCCAGAATACACAAAGCTATTTTATCTTAAATTAATCAATTATTGTTATGTTTGTGTATAATATTTTGAATTGTAAATGTAGAGAATTATGTCATGTACATGGTTTTTTTTTTTTTTTTTTTTTTCTGATGATTTGAAGACATTTGTTTATAATTAATGATTAGATCTTTTGAAATTTGTCACGTGATGCGTGGATTGCGTTAACGATTTGCTCCACCAGCAAAATAAGTTGGAAGAACAAGGGTAAATTGGGGGTAGCACTTTCTGGCCTTAACGGCCCGTACCATAGAGGTGTCAAAATATATCCATTTGATATAGGTTAATGTTGACTTTCTATTAAGTTCAAGTGTAGTCGAGTCTACTCTAATCAACATAGTATCAAGATCAATTTTAACTCATAACTTGCAATTTAAATTTAACTCGTTCAATTTTAAAATTTTTACTTTATACTCGTTTTGAGAAAAAAATTAACTAATTTGCATTAAATTAATTAGGCTCCTAATTAAGTAAAATACAAGTTTGATTTAGTCTAAACTTCAGCTTGGATTACCATGCATTTTTATTAAAGATGGTGAATATATCTAAATTCATCGGGTTTTGACTCGATTATTTTAAAAATTGAGCTTCAAGTAAAATTTTTTTAAAAATTAAATTAGGTTCAGCTCTAAGTGAGGTTTTAGATAAATCTACTCCTACCTAGGATATATAAAATATGTTTTATTATTTATTTAATTTTATATTATATATGTATTATATTAATAAAATTATTATTTAGTAATTTAATTTAAGATATTAACTTAATAAAAAAAATTATATTTATGTATAATTAAATTTATATTAAAAAATAATATTTTTATGAATATTATACTAAATTAAAATTATTAAATTATTTTAAGTCGAGTCGATTATGATTTTATATATAGGCAGATCAAGTATAAAAAATAATATTTTAATCTCAAGATGGAGTCGAGTATATTATTTATGAAATTGGGCAAAGTCACAGCGAGTAAAAACTTGCCTCAATTTAAACTCAGTTTTGCTTGACCCTTTGAGCTGTTCTCAATTTGAATTAAAATGCTAATTTTTATTCATAAATATTTATAATAAATTAAAAGTTGTTTATATAAAATATATAATATAAAAAAAATTAAAACACATAGGATTAAAAAAATCACAAATTACTTAAGTTACATATATCATAAAAACAATTTAAATTCAGTTTTGCTTGACTCTTTAAACTGCTCTCAATTCGAATTCAACTAGATTTTAATTATATACGAGTTGAGTGAGTAGGGTTGTAAAAGAACAAAACATTCGATAAATAATTTGTGAATATATTTAGTTTCTAATCGTTTATATTCATTTATTAAACTTAACAAATAATTAAGAATAGCATTAAATATTCATTAATTAAACAAAAATATCATGAATATAAAAGAAAAATTCATGCATATTCAATTTGTTTACACGTGACTGTAAACAAATAAAACATTCAACAAATAATTCATAAATAGTTTCGATTTCTATTTATTTATTAAATTTAACAAAAGATCAAGAACAATATTTTAAAACTCACGATTTAAAATATTTTAACCTTGAGTCGAAAGCAAATATATATTTTATGATATTGGGTCAAAGTCAGAGTGAGTAAAAATTCATCTTAACTCAACTCGTTGTCATCACTAATTTTTACATATAAATATTTTATAATAAATTAAAAAGCTATTTATATAAAATATAAATATAAAAAAATTAAAATGTATAGTATTAAAAAAATTACGAGTTACTTAAGTTGCATATATCATAAAAACACTTTAAACTCAATTTTGCTAGACTCTTCGAGCTGCTCTTAATTCGAATTCAACTAGATTATAATTATATTCAAGTTGAGTGAGTAGGGTTATAAAAGAACAAAACATTTAATAAGTAATTCATAAATATATTTTATTTTTAATTGTTCATATTTATTTATTAAATTTAATAAACAATTAAAAATAATATTTTGGATCCGTTAATTAAATGATTAAATCAATAATATAAAAAAAAATCGTGTATATTCAATTTGTTTACACTTATGCATAAACAAAAAAAGCATTCAACAAATAATTTACAAATAGATTTGATTTCTATTTATTTATAATTATTTATTATATTTAATAAAAGATCAAGAACAATATTTTAAAACTCATTATTTAAGGAAAGTAATAAATATATTAAAACCTATTCATCTTTGATTCGTTTATTTTTGAAGAGGTTTTTTCGAGTAATATATTTATTCCACGCTTAATACATACCGGTGGATACCATCGGATGGTTGATTAATTTAAGTGGCAAAATAAATGTATTTTTTTTATTATCTAAGTCTAAATTCGTTGAAAACCTGTAAAAAATAATTTTTTATAAATTTATTAACCTTGAAGTAAATTAATTTGTTTGAACTGATAAAAAATATATATTAAGCAAAACCCAACATACCTGTGCCGTTAAAAAAAATTTGGTGGATCACCTGCTTTGTTTTCCTTGTTCTTTATTGACGACTGGATTGGGGCCCGGAAGGAGGGGGACGTGTCAACTACGACTTGAAGAATGAAGACCAAGCAGTTGCTATTTAAGAGGTTTGACCTTCGTAACGCGATCAGATACATGGGAAAACACTGTACAAATTGCGGCTCCACCAATAACTACACAACAGAGTTGGGCTTGACTCTCCTTCCATTCAGTGTTGACTGTCAACTACCAAGTAAAGGCTTTATAGGAATACTATTTTCTTGAGTGTATAGAAAGGAAAGCACCAAGTCGGACTGGAAAGGTTGTTGGAAACTGATAGGTGGTGCCATCGAACCAGCAGATCTCAGACCAGACCACTCTCTCTCTCTCTCTCTCTCTCTCTCTCTCGCTATGATTTTAATGTCAGTGGCTTTTTCGTCATTTCCCTTTTTTTTTTTTTTTCTTTCCTTTTGGTTCACTGCTGCATGAATAATTTCATTGCGGAGAATTGCCACAAACTGAAATTTTATATTGTATATCACAATTCACATTGATGTAAATTGTCATGGTGGAAGTAGAGACTCCAGAATATTGAAAGCCTAAGTCAAGACTAATTAAATACAAAATTAATTGACTAATTCCATGATAAACGGTGATGAATGTTACCAATAGTAATGGTACTAACTATAATCATTGTAAATTTTAGGTCCATTTCATTTTACAATCGCACTTTGATATAAATATATATGTATATATATTTCAAATTCAGTTACTAACGGTATAAGCTTTTTGCGCATGTAAAATTGTCATAATGACTAAAAAGGTATTTATATTAAAATTGATTATGTGAAATTTGGAATGCTTTATAATACAAGAAAAAATTATCTAATTTATTATCAATAAAATTTTTAAGCTACATAAATAATGTTAGCAGAATAACACACTTTTTAGTGTATATTAAAAAAAATAAAACATGTAATAATTTTTTAATTTAATTTATAAAATTAAAAAATTATATTAATAATGTATCAAATATAAATTCTTATAATATGTATAAAGAAAGACATGTATAAAAAAAAGCGAGAGATATTATGTGTAATTCTATAGTATTCTTTCTTAGATGTGGTCTTCCAATAGATAATAGTTGCAGGAAAAGAAAAAAGTTGG